AAAAAACAAGCTCGAGCTTGGGCGGCCCTTTTAGTCTCGTTTTTTATTTTTTCCTTAAAAAATAAAATATTTTTAATTTTAAAATTTAATTTAAACTTTAGAATATATGTTTATACTTTAAAATTATAATTTCTATTATTTATTTTTAATTTTTAAATATTATAATTTATATTTTTAAAAATATATGAAATATTATAATTAAAAATTTTAATTTTTAAAATTTTTAAAAAATAAAAAATAATAATAAGGGCTTACGAGCCTAGCTATGAGCCCTTTTTATAAGAGCCGGACTTTAAAAAATGAGACATTTTAAAGAAACTAGGCTTAAGGGCTCGAGGGCTGGGCAGATAAGGGCTGAGCCCGTATAGGCTGGGCGTGCCCGTTTCCTAACTCTAGTAGAGACTTACTAGTAAAGATACAAAATTTTGAAAGAAATGATCAGGAATTCACAACTTAAGATACCATTTGATTATCGAAAAGGATAACAATAAAATTATTAAAAAAATTAAAACAATAAGAAATAAATTAAATTACTCTTTCCTTTATAATAAATATAATAAAATTTGATATTATATATCACGAATGTAATAATAATTATCACACATTTTAAAAATCTATTTAATTTTGACCCTTAATCCATGAATTAAATTATATTTTTTATAAATATGATTTACCTATCTCCTTTATATCTTAATCATCATATTTTTTATCTTTATTTTTTAATTTATTTTATTCTCTCCATTTTTTTTAGTAACCAAACTCAATCTGAAACCAAACTAATTGATTTGGGGGGAAAAAAATGAAGTGAGCTTGTTCTTCATCCCTCTCAATGGAAGAAGACATATTGATGGGAAAGCTTCAGTGAAGAAAAAGAATGAGTAAGCAAAAAAATGTGAGAGAGAGAGAGAAGAGACAATTGGAAAAAGCTGCCTTGAAATCAAGCAAGCAACTTTCGAGATTGGGCCCTTCAAAGCTCTAGGACTAGTTGGTATACAAGTTGTTTCTTACCAACAATATTGGGACTTGGTGGGAAAATCAATTTGCTCAATGGTTAAAGTTTTGTTTAAAGAACCAAGTAGAATGGCTGAAGTAAACAACACACACCTTGTGCTCATCCCAAAAAATGACAACCTAAAATCCATGAAAGAATTTAGACTGATCTCTTTATGTAATGTGAGTTACAAGATCATGTCCAAAATCATTGCAAATAGGATTAAAGGTTTAATGGACAAGTTGGTAGGAGATCATTAGAGTAGTTTTATAGTTGGAAGACCGAGTCAAGATAATACCATCATTGTGCAAGAAGTGATCAACTCAATAAAGAAAAAGAAAAATAAAAGAGTTCATAGCCCTCAAAGTAGATCTTGAAAAGCCATATGACAGACTTGAATGGTCCTTTATTACAGATTTCCTAGAAGAAATAGTGTTTGAAGAAAAGTTGTGTAATGTCCTCATGGCCTATATTAGTACCCCCTCAACTAAAGTGTTTTAGAATGGTGAACCAATAGCAGAATTTAAACCTTCCCGAGGGTTAAGACAAAGGGATCTGATATCACCATACATATTTACCGTGTATGAAGGAGCTGAGTCATATCATTCAGGATGAGATTTTGAATGGAAGATGGAAACCCATACAACTAGTCAAAGATAGGCCTAAATTGTCATACCTTTTTTTACAAATGATTTGATCTTATTTAGGGAGGCATCCAGAAGACAAATTGTCATCATGAATGGTTGAATCGATGAATTCTGCCAAGTATCAGGAAAAAAGATGAATGAGGAGAAAATGAAGCTCTTTGTCTCTATAAATGTTCACATCAACAGAGCCCTTGAACTTAGTAATGATCTGGGAGTAGGGCTTACTAGAGACTTGAGGAAATACTTGGGAGTCCTAATTATCCACAAAAGAGTTACAAATAATCTTTTCTCACCAATTCTAGCTAAAGCTAGTAAGCGAATGTCAGGATGGAAATGTAAGCTTCTTACTTTGGTTGGAAGATCAATGCTAGTGAATTTAGTCATCTCCACTTTACCTAGCTACTTTATACAGACCATCCTACTCCCGTTGGGGGTACTGAATGAGTTAGAGAAGACTAGCAGAGATTTCCTCTAGGGAGACTATCAAGAGTCTAGGAAAGTTCATCTCGTAGCTTGAGAGTTCATTTAAAAACATAAGGAGTTTCAGGGCTTAGGCATAAGAAATTTGCGACGTCATAATAAAGCCTTCATTTGGAAACTTTGTTACGGACTTCTTCCAAATCCGAAGGCTTTATAGGTTAAAGTCTTGAAATCTAAGTACAAATGTGGTAAGAGAGAGATGCCAAGAGTTTGAAGCTAAGTAGGAGCCTTATTGACTTGGAGGAGTATAGCTAAAGTTTGGAACTTGTTTCTTCAGGGAATGGGTAAACATCTTATATCAGGACATCAAACCTCTTTTTTGGCTTGAGAGATGGATACTTAGTAAATAACTTCTCATTGAGTTTGTTGAAGATGGTATTAATGAATCTATGAGAGATTATATTTTTTCTTTTAGGAGATAAGACACATTCAAAATGTTACCTTGGCTGCCGAGCTACTTTGTGGATCTCATTACCAACATCAAAGTACTAAGTGAGGAGAGGGGCAAGGATATATACATATGGATACATTCTACTGATGGAAATTATATTGTGAAATCTGGTTATACTCTTCTTTTTGCAGGTACCCAAGAGGAAAGTGATCCTATATGGTGTAACATTTGGAGGTGGGCAATACTGGAGAAGATGAAGACACTAATTTTAGCAACTAGCACATGATAGAGTGCACACCATAGAATTTTGCATGAGGAGAGGGTTGCCAACCATGGGCACATGTCCTTTCAAATGTAATCAAATAGAAGACACAATGCATCTGTTCAGAGATTGTACACATGCAAGTTAATGGTGGATGGAGTATGTCCAAGCTAATTTAATTGACAAATTCTTTTACTGGATAGGAAGGATTGGATCAACTGGAACATCAAGACACAAATTGGGAAACCCATTACACAGGTTGTCTCTTGGAACTTTTTGTTTGCCTACACTTGTTGGAATATTTGGAAGTCTATATGCTTGTTTCTCTTCCAAGATCAAAATTAGGTAGTCTTTAAGGAACCTAGCAATTTTATCTTTAAAGTAGCTGTTGATATAAGGTTAGGGCAACAGCTTTCAGAAGTATCTTGCTCTCACCCTTATAAGTCTGTGAAGAGACGTAGCTTGAATACCAATAGACTTGAAATTGAAGGCTTGACTTTAAGGAATGGACATGGAGCTTGTGGAGGAATTCTCAACAATAGTAATGGTGGTTGGATTATTGGTTTTAGTCATAAGTTGGGAAATGTTCCTCCGAATATATCTAAAATTTATGGCATCTATAATGGGCTCAAATTATGCTAAGAAAAAGGATTTAGGACATTGGAGGTTTTTTGTGATAGTGTTTAAGCTATCTCAACTATCACAAAGAACAACCACAACTATCATCCTTTTCAACACATTATTAAAGCTATGAGGAGAATACTTCACAAAAATTAGAATATTTCTTTTCACTTTTTATATAGGGAGAGCAACAGGGAGATAGATTATCTTGCCAAGGTCATAATCTTCTTTCTAATTCTAACTTTTTTGAGTCTCCACCCATAACTTAAGCTGGTGTGGTTGTTTGTTTTTTAGTAATTGGTCTTTGTACTTTTTCTGTTTTTGTTTGTATCTTGCTGTTGTGACTTTACCTTTGGTTTAGTGGTATGATTTCTCATTTTACTCCAAAAAAAAAAGAAAAGAAAAACTGAACAGGATGAAAGAGAAGGTGAAAGGTTGCGTGAGAGCTTTAGAATAGTCAGAGGGTGGATATTCGCCAGGAATGTTGATTGTGTGCCTCAGGCAGCGGAGAGCATATAATTGGCATTCCTTAATTCACTTTAATATTTTTTATATAAAAAATTTAAGTGAGACGATTCATGAAAATTTATCAGAATTAAAATATATCTTTAAATTAAAAAAATATTTATAAAAATATTTACGAATTATTCACTTATATCAATAATAAAATTTGATTTCACAATTTTATTAGTTATAGGTCAAATTCTTATTAACTATATTAACATATACAGATTTTACTTTGATAATTTTTTTTTGCAATTTCGTTTTTGGTAAAAGCTTGAAAATAAATTCTGGCAAATATAAATTGTATATATTGCGATGTTTTTAACACATTTGTATCGGCAAAAATCACTTTCACATCATATATACAAATATATTATATTTACACAATATTTTTTAGATTAAAAGATATAAAACTCTTAAACTTTGAGGCAACTACACAAAATCCCTCAATAATCACTCATATTTAAATGTTAAAATTAACCTTCATAATCTTTTATTTTTTTTATCACAAACTCTCATATTATTATTTCTTAATTATTATACTAACAACAATTACTATCTTATATTAATAAAAGATAGTATAGCAGCTTATGTTAAATAACACATAAATTACTATATATCTTTTGTTAATATATATTTTGTTTAACTAAAAAATAATAATAAAAAACTTGTGATAAAAAATAAAAGGTAAGAAAAAATTAATTTTAAATTTTAAAAAAGGGCAATTTATGCAATTACCTCTCCGCTCAAGAAGTTTTGGTATAATTAATATGCATTTTTACTTTTAAATTTTTTGTCAATGGGCGTAAGTATCCTGTATTGATATATGAGACAATTTTTTTAAAATTATTTTTTTAAATAACAACAAACTCCTACTATAATAGGCTTGGTGCTCTTTAAAAAAAATTATGGATAAAATTGTTGTATTTATCAGTATAAAAAACTCAATATTTTTTAAAAAATTTAAAAATAAAAATACAGCTTAACTCATTTTTCATTTAAATATTATGTGTGTGGTGTTGGTTTAACCATAAAAACAGTAACAAGTTAAATATCTATACGGTTTTGAAAAAGCTGATAAATGGTCAAATACAATGACTGGTTCCATTTCCAGACTCCACCCACCTACCATTATCAAAAAATGCCGCCCTCTCCTCAGACGACTGACCAAGAATGAGTGGAGTCTCTGCTCTCCCCACTTCGTTTGTCCTCTATAGTATAGTTCGTCACGCTACATACTGATTATTAGCTCTAAAGTTTTCAACAGATTTTGATCATCAGGAAGAGATGTTCGTGTTGAATCCGGCGAATACTCTGAAGCCAATTCTCTCCGACGACACCGTCCGTCGATCTCCTCTGATCCATGCCAGTGCTAACAGTAGGAGGACCCGGAAGATCCGTATTTCGGCTCCCGGGTCTCGGGTCAACCGGAATGTGACGAACACAATTCGAGCTGTGATCAGCAGTGGCGGCAAGACTGCCGATACCGCCACGTCTCCGGCCGACGGGGACAAGACCACCGGGACGGTGCTGTCTTCATTTTCTGGAAGTGAAGGAATCCAAGTGAGAGCGGCGGTGACGATCAGGAAGAAGATGAAAAAGACGATTACTGATAAGCTTGAAGATCAGTGGGAATACTTCGTTAACGGACTCGGTCTGGGAATCCAGATTCAGCTCATCAGTGAGGAAATCGATCCTGGTTAGATCAATTATGATATTGCACTTGCAATTTTATTTTAATTTATTTTAACTGTTGGTATTTTGTTTTCTTCTGCTTTTCATGTGCATGGAGTTGAGGATCGAGGACATCCTCCCATAATTTAAATGATTAATTAATTATGAATATTTTGAAAGGCCACGCATATTATTATTTTTATCATTTTAAATAAAAATAAATCGTTTTTCGCCAACATAATTCTTGTGAACTAGGAAGTCACAATAATATTTTAATTTGATATATCTAACTGTCCTTTTACTGTTGCTTTTATCTTTGTCCTTTATTATTTTTTAGTGGGATCTTATTGGTGACGGAAAGGTGCTTATCTTTTTGGCTTGCATATTGCATTCATAATAATATCAATTTTTTTTCTATATATTTACACTGTCTAATACTTTGTTGTCTAATTGAAACATATTTAAATAAACTAAATATTTGAAATATTTAAAATAATTTTTTACCAGTATTTAAAGTAATTTATATAAACTAAATATATGGAGTCTCATGTATTGCGATTTTATACCAAAAAAACGCACTATTTATAATTTTTTAATTATTAATAATCATAACATAGTATTTTCATCAACATTCAACCGTACGTCATTCTATAAATAAATATTGACATTGAGATTTTCAATTTTAAAATGAAATATTTTAAACTTTTTTTTTTTGGAGAATCATATCTTATGGCTATTCAAGTAAATTATTTACATATAAAGATTAATAATAAGTTTTATTTAAAAGGTAAACTACGTTTTCATTTTAATAATAATTTATTTTATATTAGTTTTTATACGTGAATAATTTTCTTGACAGTCATTTAGTTTGGTTCTTCCATTTTTTTGTGTATTGTAAAAAAAGGCTTTTTTAAGAGAAGAGATTTGAGTGTTTTGGAAATCTCTGGACTTTGACTGCTATTCGGGGCCTTTTAATAGTGCGCTGGTTTGCTTTGTTCACTGCAGGTGTGGTGACAGAAAGTTGCTAATCCTTTTGCATCGTTCCGTAATTTTATTATATTAAAATTTCTTGAATCATATATCATCCATATCAATCATTATTATTAAGATATGAAAAAATATATTATTTATAAATCATAAATAGTATTGCTTGTTAATTATATTTTGTGGAATATAATGCATGAAACTGACGTCTAATTTTTAAAATATTATCTAAATTGGTATGATTTGTTCGAAATGATTGTTTCACCTTTAACGGTTCCCGTCCCGTCCCACCACCACCAATATATATATATATATGTGTGTGTGGAGTGCATCTAGAGTTGGTAATTCAAGCGAGCCGGACTTATTTAAATCGGGCTCAATTTAGGCCGGACTTACTTAGATCGAGCTTAATGAATCTTACTCTTTCTAAAAAAACCCATATAGTCAAGCCCAGGCCTAACGCCTTCGGGTTTCGGGCTTATTCAGGTCGATCTGAATACCCAAAAATTTTTTAAAAATATTTTTTATTTTTTAATCAATTTTAATTTTTAAATAATTTTATTAAGTATAAAATATTTTTTAACTTAAAAGGAATAAAAAAATAATAGCTTATTAACTTTGTAGTTAAGTACTTAACTAGCTCTATTACTATTTTATTGTATTATGTGCAATTTATTCATGAATGTTTCCTTTATTTATAAATTGATGTTTTATTTATTTAAATATTTTCCTTATCATGGTTATATAAAAATATTTATATATTTTAATTGAATCATATTATTTTAATTATGATCAAGTTAATCTCAATTCAACTACGGTTAGACCACTAATTTAAAAGTATTGCCCTAATTAGTTCAAAATTTTTAACAATTATTAGATAAACTGTACTTTTTATTTTTAAGAATATGAGAAAATAACCATCATTATATTATATAAAATAAAATCATTTAATTATGGATAAAATACTATTTTTTTAAATTTTTTCTTTAACCTTTTATATTGTTTAAATCCTATATATAAAGAGGTATTTACTTTAGTTCATTCTTAATTTTTAACTAAGTCTAACGTGAATGATAATCAAATAATTATCTAAAAATATTAATTTATTTATTATGTTTGGTTAGTAGTAGAGCCGAAATTTGTACCTTCCCAAATTTTATTTTTAAAATTATTTTTAATTTGAAATTAATTATCTTATTTTATAAAAAATAAAATATAATTTTTTGGATAAGAAAATAGTGTTTATGACTCAATTTTTCTAAAAAAAAGATTGAGTCTTAAAGTATAAAAATTAATATTAAAATATATTTTAATTATTATTTTGAGATATTTTATTTGATTAAAAATTATAAAAATAAAAAAATATAATATTTTTATTTTTTTAAAATAACTATAGTAATACACTCAAATATATGGTATTTTAAAATAAAATGATATAAAACTTAAAAAATAATTAATATTTATTATATTATATATATATTTTTTAAAAAATATTCTTTCTATTCAGGTATTCGGACCAAGCCCGAACCCGATCGGGCTTGACCTGAATTTGCTCAGGCCTATTTGGGCTGAATAGGCCCGAATAATAAATAATTATTATTTTATTCGAGCTCGGGTCTAAATTTTTTAGACGGGTTCGGGTTAGTCCCTCAAACTTGGCTCAAATTATCGACCCTAAGTGCATCTATGTCAAGAAAAGGAAGTTTCATTGTTCTTTCGATAGTTATTTATTACTTAGGGCAAAATGCATTGAACTCCTTTATAATTTATCTTAATTATAGATATATTGAATTAAAATATCTTCTTTAAATAAAAATGTTACCTAAAAATCATTCAAAATATTTAAAAAAAATTAATGCATATATTTTTAAAACTTGTTATACATATTTTAAACGTTTAGGTTTTTCAAGCTTATTTATTCAATAATTTTTTAAAAATATAAATATGCTATCTAAAATAATATTTCAAACATGTACTTCCTCTAATAAAAAATATAAGCCATTTTTTGAGAAGTTGGATATTAAAAATATAAGGCATTTTTAAATTTTTGAAGTGTAGTCATTATTTTTTTTTCTAAAAGTGTCTCTATTAATAATGACTTTATATTTATTGTAAAATATTTAATAAGGGTAAATATGAAAAAATAAAGTTAGTTTGAAAGTAGATAACTACTTTATTAGGGGTGTAATTTCATTAAAAATGCCTTATATTTTTAAATAGAGAGAGTATATATCAAAGAAAAAAACTTATTGAAATAGGGATGTGATATATAATAAGATATAATTTATGTTTATTTTTCTTTAATTTTTATTAATTTGAAAAACAACATTTTAAATAATTTATTTTTATATTTAATTATTTAAAGTCTCTCAAATTGAGGGGACAAAGAGTAGGCAATTAGTATAAGGGCAAATTAATAATTTTAAGTTTTTTAACAAAATTAAAAATAAAAAAGATTAGAGTATTTTAGAATTTTTTTTTAAGGAGTATTCCAAACACTGATAATAATTAGACTAAGGTGTGGGTGGGGATGAACAAAATTAAATCAAAACTAAAAATTAAATTAAATCGAATTGAATTTTATCTATTTGATTCAGTCTAATTGGTTTTTCAGTTCGATTCAGTTTTCTTTTATAAAAAATTTTAGTTGATCAATTTGATTGGGTTTGAGAATTTTTTAACCAAATAAATCGAACCAATCAAATTATATATATATTTTTTGTATTTTTAAAAAAGTGAATAAATTCTCATTTAGGTAAGTAAAGAACATCTTTCTACCACTGATAGTAGTAATATTTTTTTTTGTTTAATGTGATGTTCTAATTTTTTTATTTCTACAATTTAGTTTTTAATGCAATAATGCTAAGTTTTATTAATTTTCTTATGAATTATGATATAAGATTGTTATTTTTTTGTTGGGCCTTCAACATTAAGGGAAAAAAGTTGGATAGAAAAATGTATGAACAATTGGACTCTATAAACTCAAATCAAAGATCATGAATCAAATAAACTGATCAAATCAAACTATTATAATTCAGTTCGAGTTTAATTCGGTTTGATCATGTATTTTAATTTGATTCAATCCAAACTTTTATATAATTCGGTCGATCGATTTTAAAGAAATTGAAACCAAACCGACCGAATCAACCAAATGCCCACCTCTAAGTGTAGGTTTTGTAAACATAAGAAGATCTTAGTAACTTTAGTAAAATAAGAAGGAGATCATTATATTTTATTCTATTATTTATACAATATATGATAGTTATTCTAATATCAACGGCATTTCTTTTAAATGATTTTAGATTTGAACTTGCCAACATGTGTCTATGATGTATATGTCTATACTTTTTGAGAAAATGTTAAAGGGGTAATTTTTTTTTTAAGTTATTGCTTATTAAAGTCAGCGCATTCTTTATGTAAACTAAATGCATTTTCTTTCTCAAAAAAAAAAAATTTACCGACTATGGATCATGAAAAATTTGTCTCTTTTTAATTTCCTGTTCCCTCCAATCCAAAATATATGATAAATTTAACTACTTCTCAGGATTAAAAGATAGCTATATTATTATTTCTCAAGATTATCCTTTAATTAATTAAAATTAAATAATATCAATTGCTTTTAATTTTTTATATATTATCTGTGTACAATGTAATTAATAAATATTTATAATTTTTGATAATGTTTAACCAGTTTATTTTATCTTACTTGGCACAGTTACTAAGTCGGGAAAAAGCGTCCAGACGAGCGTGAGAGGGTGGCTGCCAAAGCCGTCGAACCTTTCGTACATCGTCGAATACTCCGCCGATTTCACAGTCCCAAGCGACTTTGGATCCCCTGGCGCCATTCTCATCACCAATCTTCATAGCAAGGAGTTCCACTTGCTTGAGATCGTCATTCATGGCTTCGAAGGAGGGTCCATTTTCTTCCCAGCAAATACTTGGATTCATTCCCGCAATGACAATCCTGAAAGCAGAATCATATTCAAGAATCAGGTCAGAAATTGTCAAAAACCTAACCTAACCTTCTTCTTCCTCTTATTTTCTCATGAATTGTGACACACACACACACACACACATTTTGGACTTATTGTTGCTCTGCTAATATAAGCGAAGTGTTTGATCAGGCATATTTACCATCACAAACACCAGCTGGTATTAAAGATCTTCGACGTGAAGATTTGCTAAGCATCAGAGGTACTGGAAAAGGCGAAAGAAAGGCTCATGATAGAATCTACGATTATGCTTCTTACAATGACTTGGGAAATCCTGACAAGGACCAGGACCTTGCTAGGCCGGTCGTTGGCGTTGACGATAGACCTTATCCGAGGCGCTGTAGAACCGGCCGGCCTCCAGCCACCACAGGTATACATATTGCTTTTTAGATCTTCTACGATTCAGGCTTTCAAATATTTGACTCTTGATATGTTTGAGTCTGAATAACAGGAAGACAAAAAGTTTGAAGTATTGAATCATACTAGTTCAAGGGCTGAATAGTTTGTTGATGATGAGAGGATAAAAATTAGGATATTCTGTGTGTGAGTGTGTGTGTGTGTTTTTTTTTTTTTTTAATCTGCATTTATGGCATTTGGAGAAACGTTTCTGATCTTACCAGCAACATTGTTGGTGTGGCTGTAAATAGATCCACTGATTGAGAGTAGAATTGAAAAGCCACATCCTGTATACGTGCCTCGGGATGAAGCTTTTGAAGAAATCAAGCAGGACACTTTCTCTGCTGGAAGGTTGAAAGCTCTGTTCCACAATCTTATTCCCTCGCTTGCCGCAACGCTGTCAAGTTCAGACATTCCATTTAACTGCTTTTCCGACATTGACAAACTTTATACTGATGGTGTTGTCTTGAGAGGTGAAGAACGTAAAGACATTGCAGATAATCTATTATTGGGCAAGATGATGAAACAGGTTCTCAGCATTGGGGAGAGATTATTAAAATATGATATCCCGGCCGTTATAAAGAGTATGTTACCACTGTTCACGTTTTTAGTTTCGTGAGTTATGTTAATATGAGGTTATTTGCTCATGTTAGCGTGCATGCCTACTTTAAAGTCTCAAAACCACATTTACGTCATTGGTACTGGCTTTTGTACTTGTCCAGGGGATAGATTCTCTTGGTTGCGGGACAATGAATTTGCGAGGCAAACTCTAGCTGGGTTAAATCCAGTAAATATTGAGCTTTTGAAGGTAATCTTTATAATATCAATCAATGGCATTGCTGCTTTCCCCCTTTTTTGGTTGGCAATCCAGCTAATTATTTTGTTTGTTACCTGTCTTCCACAGGAATTTCCCATTCGCAGCAAGCTAGATCCTGTTGAGTATGGTCCTCCAGAGTCAGTGATAACAAAAGAACTACTAGAACAAGAAATTGGAGGAATGAGCTTGGAAAAGGTTTTTTATTTCTCTAGTTTTACCTGAAAATTTTGATCTATTAGAAGTTCAATCTCCATTATCTTCTCTTATTCCTATATTGGCAGGCTATGGAGGAAAAAAGACTATTTATCCTAGATTTTCACGACATGCTTTTGCCTTTTATCAAGAAGATGAACTCTTTGCCTGGGAGAAAAGCCTATGCCTCAAGGACAATTCTCTTCCATGCTCCCGATGGTATTCTACTGCCTATTGCTATTGAGCTTTCTCTTCCTCCAACACCTTTATCACCGGGGAATAAGCAAGTTTATACACATGGCCATGATGCTACAACACACTGGATTTGGAAGTTAGCAAAAGCTCATGTTTGTTCAAATGATGCTGGCATCCATCAACTAGTAAATCACTGGTAAGACAACACAAATAGCTTATTTCAAGCAATCTATGAAAAAACTCCAAAATATATTTTGACTATAATGCTTCTAGAAGTGTAAAAGTTAGTGACAATTCTGATTGGATTTCCATTTAAATTTAGTCATTCAGAAGAGAAAGTGGAATGCTCATATTGAGCTGAAAGGAAGATATTTTGGCACTTATTATGCAGGTTAAGGACTCATGCATGCATGGAGCCATATATAATTGCTACTCATAGACAGCTAAGCTCAATGCACCCCATTTACAAGCTACTACATCCTCATATGCGCTATACACTGGAAATTAATGCACTTGCACGGCAGAATCTAATAAATGGAGGGGGAGTAATTGAGGCTTCTTTCAGTCCAGGAAAGTATGCGATGGAACTCAGCTCAGCAGCCTACAAGAATTTGTGGCGGTTCGATATGGAATCACTGCCAGCAGATCTTATTCGAAGGTAAGCTCTGCTTATATTCCAGATTCAATGCCATAAACCCCTGGCTTTCAAATTCTCGCATGCTGTCTCTTTCTTGTTTACTTCCTAGTAGGTTTCAAGGGCTCTGTGACCAAAGATTTTTTTCGTCCTCTCTAGTTTTATTTTCATACTACAAAATAAACAATTTTATCTGGTTCCCAGGGGAATGGCTGTAGAAGATCCTTCAATGCCATGTGGTGTGAAACTGGTGATTGAAGACTACCCTTATGCTGCAGATGGACTCCTAATCTGGTCTGCCATAAAAGAATGGGTAGAATCTTATGTTGACCACTTTTACTCTGACCCGAATTCTGTCACAACTGATGTTGAGCTCCAAGCATGGTGGAATGAAATTAAACATAAGGGTCATCATGACAAAAGGAATGAGCCCTGGTGGCCTAAACTCGAGACCAAAGAGGACCTCTCCGGTATCCTTTCCACTATGATTTGGGTTGCTTCAGGTCAACATGCTGCAATAAACTTTGGACAATACCCCTTTGGAGGGTATGTCCCTAATCGTCCTACCCTAATGAGAAAACTCATTCCCCAAGAAAATGAACATGATTATGAAAAGTTGATTCAAAATCCTCAGCACTTTTTCCTATCATCATTGCCTACTCAACTTCAAGCTACCAAAGTGATGGCCGTTCAGGACACATTGTCTACTCATTCCCCTGATGAAGAGTATTTGGGTCAATTGAATCCATTGCATTCTCACTGGATCAATGATCAAGAGATCTATAAACTGTTCAGTAAATTCTCTGCCAGACTTGAGGAGATAGAAGATATAATAAATGCAAGAAATAAGGATGTCCGTCTAAAGAACAGAAGTGGTGCTGGTGTCCCTCCTTATGAACTATTGCTTCGGTCATCAGGACCAGGGGTAACAGGTCGTGGAATTCCCAATAGCATATCTATTTGAATTTTTGTTAATTGTATCTCGTTGGTTTTGTTGATGGATATCTTCTGCTTATATGAGATGCACTATTTTGTTGGCAGAAACCGTGTAGATTTAAGCATGCATATCTTTCTCGATGTGTAATCTACTGTTTTACTTTCCGATTAGAAGATTCAAGGGCATGAATATTGAAATTACAACTAAAAAAAGGTGGGAATAGTTTAAGAATATAGCAATATGTTGATTATTAGTTTAGGTAAGAATCTTCCCGGGAATTGTACGATTAAGTTACAGAGATGGAAAGTAAAATGAAAATGATCCCATTTTTAGGACCCATATGCATAAAAGTTGGGATAATATAACTTTTAATTCTTAAACTTTCTTACAAGTATTGATTTATTTTTTGAATTTTGACTCAATACAAATCAATCATTATGATTTATTGGATTAAGGAATTATAGGAACTAGGTTGTATTAAGTGAAAAGATTATATACACTGAATTGTTCCTAACCAAGAAACCTTAAGAATTGAGTTGTTTCGAATTAAAATTTAAAAATTAAATTAATAATTGAAAAAATTCAAGAATCAAAAGTTACATTTTTTTATGTTAAAATTATCAATGTTTTATAATTAGTCATAAAGCAACAATATAATGTACCAACCAAGTTGTGGATAGCCAAGTAGCAACTATTTATGGAAATTGTGTCCAACACTACAAAATGAATACTCTTTCTTGATTCTTCTTCCATGGGTGACCACCAAATATATATATATATATATATATATTGTTCACTTATTTGCAGGACCACAGTTCACATTGTAGTGGAAACGCCACCTTCTTATCTTCACAAAATATTGGTAGTGAAAGATTGGGATCTAAAGTTATGCATGGCAAAAGAGTGCTAGTTGCTTTTGTCCAAATATCTGAGGACATAGTGAACCGAAGAAATTCTTCTCAGTAGAAGCTTCTATTTTTACCCCTCGAGATAACGAAAGAAATTGATGCAATCCCCTTATTTTCATTCCACTTTCAAATAGAACTCAAATCTTTTAAGAGATTAGTCTCGTGACTACTAGTTGGAAAGTATCTTAATAGCCAAAAAAAAAAATTCTACTCTCAATATTGTTGAAGCATGTACATCCTATCTCACTAAGTGGGAAATCGTAAGTTTGAATTTAATGTTCTTGTGGGCTATAATAATTGGACATTTGCAGTCTAATATCTTTTTTATTATTATTTTTTCCTTTGATCAAAATTCAAAGCATAACCAACAGGGTGGGTCTGGTGGAAGCGATTTTAGAGCATATGATCCCCCTAAGCCCAACAACCCCTGAACGGCTTTTATAACCTGCAAGAGGTCCACGATCCAAGGGTAGTCCAAAAGCCAATCTAAGCTATTCTAGAAAGTAGAACCCTCAAGAATTCAACATGATCTAACCAACGGGAGTTGATCCGAGTGGTAAGCGACTCGGTTCCGCTTAAGCAAGATCTCAAGTTTGAATCTTGTGTATGCAAAAAATTTTCGCTGGAAGACTCACCCACTAAAGCCAAGTGCACCACACGGGTTGGATCCAGATGTAGTTGGGTTAGCTTCGGTAAACCGGGTGGGCAACAAAAAAAAAAGAATTCAACATGATCTAAACATCCTAAAGTTGTTATGCTTACATGAAAGACTGTTTGTGTGGATGATTACATACTTGCATGATGACATGACAGCAGATGCACTGTTGGCCAAGGTGGATGACTGCATAGTAAAGAAAATGACATTTTTGCCCCTTTTATGTAAATGTTTTCAAATTTAACTGGCATTCCATACTTCCATACACTTTATGACTTTGATTGACACTTTTTTGAATTGAAATATTTTATGTTTTAACTTATAAAACTTGAGATCTCATTTTAAATAAAAATATATATATTTTTTCATGGCAAACTTATATGTCAATATTTAATTACCATGGTAATAGGCTTAATTTGGCTAACTTAGAGGTGTATTTTAGCGATATTACACCTTTGGCCGGTAGCCTTCCATAATTGATGAGCTTGGACCAGTTTAGTTACATAGACTTAATCCTATTGTATTATTGGCCCACAGATTCAATTGGAGGTACTTTGAAAGGTATAAGGATGGTGTGTGATGAGCATACATAGTTAATTGTAATTAAGCATATTTGTATAATTGTGATTAACTATGTAGTTTTCTGTCCTACCGTGTATGCTTATTAACTGTCTGGATTGCATGTAGATATATTAGATTATTTGATTACTGAGACATTGTTCTTACCCCAGTAGTTATAGTTTAAAGGCTCCTCTAAAGGCAAAAGGGAAGGCAGATCGGGTACAGAGTAGGTGAGCTACTACATGTGTATAGCCTTTTTTTATTTTGATGTGTAATCTTTAATATATATATATATATATATGCTTTTATTGCCAACATAAGATAATCATTATTTTGGTTGCACTTGTATGAATTCAATTATGGTATTTTATTATATTTTGGCATAGAATGATGTATTTGTGGTGAAATTGTCGAGGAAAAAATCCTAATGTGAGTGCATGATATATGTTATTTGACATGTTTATGATGAGAAACAACCAAAGGAATTAATGCATGGACATGTGTGATATTGTTCCCCTTTTATGCCAATTGTGTGGTTTTATATGGCCAAAATGTATTTGGCATGTATGAATGATTGTATGATTGTTTGATTAAGTGCATGTTAGTCCTTAGGATGTGGTTCAAGCCTTGTTTTAGGCTAATGGTACTTAGTGTAGGTTTTGGGGCACCTTGGGATGTGGTTTTATTAGAAACGAGGTAGCTTTTATATCTGAGTGTTCAACTTTAAAATGGAATAGTGTTTTGATGGGAGATTGGTGCCATTAGCTAGGTAACTCAATTGGCTACATGTGAATATTTAAATCACTTTAATCAAACATCAAATGGTGAAACATTGCATGTCAAACATTTATTCTAGGGTACTGCAATGATAGCAAAACATGTTGTCATGGCAATGGCCATGTGTCATGGCATGTGGCACAAAACACAATTGGCCATGGTGCATGTGTCTTGAATGTGATGTGTAGGTTAAATGTGAAACAATAACTATTTTACCCCTATTTTAATATTTGATTCTTTGGTACTTAATTTACATGCTTTTATGTTGTTTTACACTCTATTTTCTTGCACATTTAAGCTCAAACAAATTTTAAAAAAATTTTCTTAGGATCCTAAACTTCATAAATGTTTTAAAATATGATTGTAGCTTAATCGTTTTCTATCATGGTAATATAAAAGGGGATTAATCCATAGCTAATTACAATCATAGAGTGTTTAGGTGTGGTTTGTTTTGGTAATGTTAGGGCAGACATTACATGTAACAAGACACTTCTCAAGCCACCATGGCATGTGAATCATTTATGTATGCATACTTGGAAATTGACAAGGATTACAAACCTAAAAGAAAAGTCTTGAGTCAATTTACAACCAAGTGAAGCCCAATACAAGAAGATTTGGAGCACGAATAAAGAGTCTCAATTAATTTACAACCAAGTTATATACTCATAAATGAGTCTAATAAAGCCTTAATCTTTCAAATTGGACGCATTGCTAAATGGACCATCGGAGCTGGAGCACAAAATTGAAGCTAAGCCCATGCTCAATAAAGAGGCCTAAAGCATCATATTCACTCTTTAGAGCATCTAAGAAGATTTGTCACATGTTGCACATACAAATTTGGAGTTTAAGATTAAATCTTTAACTAGTCAAGCAAGCTTTGAATGCTAGATTAGTTTCCTATTTTGATTGTTGACATGTGTTTCTAGTATCTTTTAATAATTTCCTTACTTATGTTGTTGCAAACTTACAATTTAAGTTATTATATTTTAGGTTGGTTTCTAAAAGGTGTCGTCCTTTAAGAAAATTTCTCGATTTGATTCTTATTTTCCAACCATTATAATTTTGGGAAACTTTCCTCTTTTCTCTTCTAAGGTTGCACCATCCACCTTCCTTCTTCTAGAGCTTAAAGTTTTCATTTAGTTACATATATATAGACTTTATGTAATGGAGGTTTTAGACAATTTTAATAGAATTTTAAATTTTATTCACTTATTGTGAGCACTTTTCATATGCCTTTTGAACGTTTGAGAAGATTGGGATAATCAAAAGAGTTATCTTCCTTTGGGGGTGCTCATAGAGCAAGAACAAATCCAGAAATCATCACATAGGAGCAATGATTGAAATTTTATCTAAATGTGGGGGGTTATAACTAAAATTTTATCCAAATGTGGGGAACTTATAATAATTTTTACATTTTTTACAAGATTTTTACATTTTTTACAAACAATTAAAAAAATTGGAGTATAGGGGGCCACAACCCCCGCTGGCCCCTCGTAAATTCATCATTGCCATGAAGTTAGAGGTCAAAAGATGAGTTTCTCTTAGGTTATCTATCCAAATCTATCTTTATTTTCTTATTAATTTTGATTTCTTCTTTATTGTCTCTTCTATTCTTTCGCTTCTAGTATATTATTTTGATCATGTTTGTGTAGTACTTGACAACTGAGCAATTGATCCGTTGAAATTTGGATGGTCTACTTCTAGGTGCAAGTAGGGTTTTTGCACACCAAGATTAGTGTCTTACAATGTAACAAACAAAGGTTTAAATTTTCACTAAAAGAAGTATCCGCATTGCTTTTAATAAGACAATACATATGGGTAATTAAAAAAATTGGAAAACTATGAAAAAAAAAATTCAAAACATCCTATAGTTTTCCAAATTTTAGGTTAGGTGTAATAAGCTTTGATAGTAAAAACTTAAATGATATTTTCTTATTTCAAAGAACCTACATAATATTCTCCCTATTGTAAATTATTTTTTCTTATCTTCTTTCTTGTTTTGTTATCCTTTTATTGAAATGTGATATGATATTTGTGATTCTTCTTAATAAGGTAGACTTGTTCATAGCATGAAGTTAGAAATTAAGCCATATTATTTTGATTTTTCATAACTGATAAAGAATGCAATTTGTTGTGTAGTTATATTTTTATAAGTCATAGTCATACTTAAACCAAGGGAGAATTACACATATTGAGTCCAAATAAGAAAATCAATTTTCTATAAAAAATTTTATATAATTATCCAACCAGGTCATATGTAAATATTGTTGAGTTTAATTAGAAGTAACTTTTCATAACTCTTTTTACTAAGACCATCGT